ATTTTCTTAGTTTAGGTTTGCATAAAATTACGTGAGCTAAGTTAGATAGCTTCGTTCGCGGCGTGGCCACCGCTTTATACTATATGACATCTATACTATAGAAGAAATCGCACAAAACAACATATATAGGGCAATGGCGAAGTTGGAGTCATGTTACATGGAATCTTCGCCCTTGGACTGATTTACGAAGTCATAATTTGGTAAGGAATTCTTATCGTTGGAACAATTTTGTTCTGATTTTTAAAAGTTTAATAGGTTCGTTTTACGACTGCAAATAATGCATGACAGAATAATCAGTTGTCGATTTGATTTTAGTAGGATCTATAATAAAATGGCAACAGGAGCGGCAATTATGGATGCATTCGAGTGTGCGGGCCGGAGAAGCGGTATAACCGGTAATTTTTTTGGTATGAGATTATCTATTATCTAACTAAAGTTTATATGAGATATCGTTTTAATAAAATATCTGGGTTATACTAGTACTGTTACCTACAGTCATGTCTTATCAGTAAGCATTTGAGGGCAGGACTAGAAAAAACTACTAAAAATCGTTAATTTTCGTCACAGCCATTAAAAATGATTAGAGGTCTGAAATAAATGGGCCCCTAAGCTCTAAAAACACGGGCGGTTTAGAACTTTTCGATATTTTTACCGAATCGTCGATTGGATATCGTTCTCGAATCGGAGGGCGCTTTCCGAGGTGTTCAGAACATTCCGAGTTAAACGTTCAATTCGGATTCGGATACGATATCGTTATTCAACAACGTTTACGAAGTTATTCGGTGAAATAGATTATAAGAAAATAAAAATCCTTTTTTAAATGAAAATACATTTTTTTTAAGACTGAAGGCCTCAAAATTTAGAAATGCATTAGTCTTGCATTAAAATAAATTAATAAAATTGAACAAAATCCAGATTTTATTTAAAATATTAGGGGTTAAAGTATGAAATTGCCGTTTTATTGCAATAGGTTCTTTGAATTTTCATAGAATCTTCATGGTTTGAGGTTTTCGAATGAAACTTTTTTCAAATGGTTTCTGTGATTTTTTTTTTTAATTTGAAACATTTGAATATCGACTTTCAATTGTTTTTGTTATTCAATTTAGACAAGAAAGATGGATACTGCGAAAATTCGAGTGATTTTTGAATACGAGTTCCGACGCGGAACTAACGCGGCAGAAACAGCCCGCAATATCAATGCTGCGTTTGGAGAGGGGTCTACTAATGAACGCACCGTGCGATTTTGGTTTAAACGCTTTCGTGATGGAAATTTCGACTTAAAGAATGAGTCACGAGGAAGACCGCCCACACAGGTGAATAACGATGAATTAAGAGAGATAGTGGAAGCCGATCCTAGTCAAACTACCCAGGAATTAGCGGCATGGTTTAACGTTACCTTACCCACAATATTGACTCACTTGCGTCAAATCAATAAAATAAAAAAATAAGAAAAACGGGTGCCTCATGATTTGACTGATCTGCAGAAAGAAACGCGTGTTGAAACTTGTGTTGCCTTGTTGAACCGGTACAGAAATGAAGGAATATTGGATCGAATTGTAACATGTGATGAAAAGTGGATTCTTTATGATAACCGGAAAAGAAAAATGCAATGGCTGACCCCAGGTCAAATGCCACAACAGTGTCCTAAAGCAAAACTTACCAATAAAAAGGTAATGGTAACTGTTTGGTGGTCTCAGCATGGTGTTATTCACTATAGTTTTCTCCGATCTGGTCAAGCAATAACGGCAGATGTCTATTGTGCCGAACTCCGAACCATGTTGACAAAACTAGCAGTAAAACAGCCCCGACTCATGAATCGATCTTCACCATTATTGCTCCACGACAACGCGAGACCTCACACAGCACGAGAAACCATTTTGACCCTTCAGGAACTGCAGTTAGAAACCATTCGTCATCCTCCGTATTCACCAGACCTTGCTCCAACGGACTACCATTTTTTTCGTGATTTGGACAATTATCTACGTGACAAGAAGTTTTCTTCCCAGGAGGCAGTACAAAATGCTTTCACACAGTTTGTGCAGTCTAGATCGTCGGAGTTCTATCGCAAAGGCATTAATAACCTTCCCATTAGATGGCAGCAATGTATAGATAATAATGGCAACTATTTTGATTAAATAAATTTGTTAAAAATTTAAAAAATAAACAATTTAGATTTTCAGTACAAATCGGCAATTTCATACTTTAACCCCTATTAATAAGAGATTTCCATATTCCATTTCTTGCTTTGTGGACAATAAGGACGTACGGTAACTTTTATTCGATAACTGTGTTCTGAATAACGTTTGTAGCCTTTGCCGGCCGAGAAGTTCGAGTAATCGTACGGGTGTGACGTCCTTTCGGGACGGTTTCGAATACGACAGTATGACGTTCGATTGGGGTGTTGTGAATAAAAATGAAAAGAAATCAGTCGACAACTGAGTTATCGTAAGGTTCTGAATCGACTCCCTGATCATATACCGACAAATGCATTTTTGAATTATTTCCAGAAGTGTTAAAACAAGCTGAGTATTTATGAATCCATATTCTTATGTCCAATTAACAATGAACACTCAACTTTACAACTGTCAGTGGCAATGCTACAAAAACTACGTTTGGGGCATTACACATTACGATTAATACCATTATTATTCTTAAAATACATAATGTATATAGATACATCGAAACAAATTTGCAATAAAAGCCCGATCTAACAAAAAATTACAAATAAATGAGATCCACACAGAAAAAACTATACATAACATAAACATGATGTTTATAATATAATAATAAAGGTACATTATACCCTGACTATTCGACTAGTTAATCCAGATCAATTTTTATGTACAAAATCGGAAGCCAAAACCTTTTGGACCACTTAAAAGTATAAGAAGTGTTTAAAACATATTTTTATACTTTGGAACGGTCCAAAACTTACTCTATTCCCTTATCGGTGGATAACAACATCTAAATTTTAATAGATACAAATAGTGCTAGAAGACTATAGACAAGTAGTTTAATTACTAACTTTGCGAACTAAATTAGATATGAGCGCTATTCGAGAAATAAGCTACATCAATTATCCTGAACGTGCTTGACGATTTCGTGTAAAAATAGACCGAATTTCAAAACACCTGAAGACTAATTCCTTCAAGACAACACATTATCCCGATCACAGTATTAAAGTAATAGCTTACCTTATAGCTACCTTGTGAAAAAGTTCGCCCAGGGAAATACTGCCACCTAACCTGCTTCTGCGGCGAAGCAGTAATGTGGACATTACTGCTTTCGGGTTTTGAAAGTTAAAAGCGATGCCACATGATGCGTTGCGTCAGCGTTGTGACGCCTTAGCGGTGAGACGCTGCGTTGTATTACATATAAATTACAACGACTTGCCACACGGGCGTTGCGTCAGCGTTGCTTCCTCGTAAAGCGTGCGCATCGGACAATGGGTCAGGCGATGAAGAGAGGAGGGTTGCTGCGGTTCGAAAGTAAGCGGCGTTACGTTGTGACACGGTACCACTCGTTTGGCACTCGGTGCGTTGAAATCATAGCACGCAACGCCGATGCAACGTCCGTGTGGCATCGCCCTAGTGAAATTACAGGCATATGAGATTTCTCAGGGTGACAGACGCCGTAGCAATCTCCCTCAGATTTTTGCGATTTAAAGCACTAAGTGACACTGTAACCCCTTAATTACTCATCTGGCGCCTGACTTATTCAAGTCGTTACTTGGTATCAAAAAAGTGACATACTTATAGGTTTTGTATATGATTCTATCGGATGCATTACAGACAGATGCAGGAACATTTAATTTAGTTCCATCCTTAACGTTCCACCTTGGGTCGAGTAGAAAGGGGAGCATCGTTATAATAACAATAATTCTTTTATTGAATAAAATTTATTGAGGCAATACTTTAGCACCAGTTCATTTGAACACATCTCTAATTTACGTATTAAATGTATGACTTGTTTGTGGTTCTAAATTTAAATAAATAATACAATATAAAATCAAAAAATATCCGTTAAGAGATTCTAAACTGATTACATTTTTAATTTAGTTTACTCGTCCCTAAGGTGTATTGAAATTAGGTTATTAAATTTCAATGGCTTAACATGAGTACAAAGCTGGCAATTTACTTTCAAAAATGACGTAACATGAGCCATTTCTACAAGCACCGCGCACACTGCTAGAGTGACGTCATAGCCGGTAAACAAGAGCAAAGTTTCTATGCTCACGGAACTTCATCAGAGTCTAGAAGTCAAGATAATTGTTGCAACTTTGCACCTACAGCGATTGATAGAATAGTCCTACTCTACAATAGACTAGATAATATATTATATTAGTGTTTGGACAGCATTTACGGTCCCAAATTGTCAGTCAAAATAATGAGCAGAACATTGGGCCAATTTGTACAGTTCCATAGCTTAATCACAGATGGGAACAGAAACATTTTTTGAAATTAGAATCTTAATAAATTTTTTTATTTCTTCTTTTTTTGAAATTTTCTTTAAGTTGAACATCGAGTATATAACCAGAAATAGACACGAAATAAGGGCCATGCATCCCTGGCAACTCATCAGGAAAATAAATAAAATAAATATCAACTCTCATTTCCACTGAAATCACAAATTAGAAAGCTGAAATAATCTAATTACAAAACAAACGAAATTACATTTCATCGGTAATAAAATATTAAATAATATGTAATTTTTCAATTTTCGTCATTATAAAGCTCAAGTTAAACTGGTCGATTGGAAGTGAAACTATTGATGACACCGGTCAACTGGCCAATCGCAGCGCAGTAATGATATGGCAGAATAGTTTTCAAACAAATTAAACGACATTTCGTCTCTATTTATGGTTATATACTCGATGAATTTGATTGACATTTTTATTTTTAAATTTGGAATTTCAAATTTTGCATGTCCGAAATATTATTTTTTTAATATTATATGTATTTCAAAAACATTATTAATTTAAAGATTGTCCGTTGTATGGCAAATTTTGAAGATTTAAACATTATGACTATTCGAAGAGAGACTAGTTCAAGAAAGTACGGAAATTGAAAAGTTAACATAAGACATAAAGTTGATGTTGTATCTACACACTAACCATTATTTCACGATCGAGATTCATATACATTCGCTGGTGGTTAGAATTCGTATTCTCATTTCTTCCGATTACGTCGCGCCCGCCTTACATTTTCATTTTGTTCTTTCTTGCATACGTTACAATCCTTCGGCAGACGTATAAGTTTCCAAGCGAACTTGTTTCGCTGACCATCTGTAATAGTAACAGCTCTAAATACTGTACCTGAGAAGAAAAAATCTGCAAACGCCTTGCCTTGATGTACATTCGAGATTTTTAATACCACTTTTTGTAGAAAGTTTGCACTCAGTTCGACGCTTCCACGTATAGCTATTTTCCGAAAATTGACTTGCAACACTTCTTCGAGGAGGGTCGTCTGCGTCGATGTGAGCTTTAGAAGGCTGACGCAGGCGCGAGGTCGACGGCGCCGGGGGGCTGGTGGGGGTGGTGGGGCGGTCACCGGACGCGTCCGGACGGCGAGCGCAAGTGGCTGCGGATGTAGCCCGTGCGGAAGTCCACGGCGTCGCGGCCGCGGCCCGAGCCGTGCGTCCGCTGTCGGGCGCGGCTCCAGCGCCTGAAAAGCAGTCGACTCAGGCTCACGAATTTTAACTTATTACTAGTTATTGCTTAATGTAGGTTATTACTTGGTGTAGACTCAGGTGAAAACTGAAAATCAGCAATGCTCAGTCTTTAACCTTTTTGTCCACATCAATCAATTGTTTTTTTTATTCATTTTTAAACCATGCAGAGTGAGCCTCCTCGTGTCTCTTGGTTTGACTATGTTAAGTTAAGCAGGGGTTAAATTGTCAGCGCGCATTGGCTTCGATCCGGACATTTTGTATGTGAACTCACTGAGGATGTACATCATGTGACATGTACATCATGATATGAATTGTGAAGTGTGTGGAATCCCACTGAGGATGTACATCATGCTCAAGGAGTGTCTTCGGACGGAGCCTATCAGGGCGCGGTTATTTGCAAAGGCTGGTTTTCGTACATTTAATATTGGGTAGTTTTCAATCTGTTTTGTCGGAGCCAACATGTAGCACCACGGAGATTTTGTATTTATGTTTGATTAAGTAGTATTTTGATTGATCTGTCTGAATTTTATTATGTGTTTTCTTGAGGCATTGTTTTTATAACAGAGCTGATATGTTCAGTAACGATCAAAGTCCATACATAAATAATAGTAAAAAAAAATTGTGTTTCTTATGTTTTGTGAAGAAATAAATGCTTTTTATTTTATTTATCATTTGTTTATAATAATCACTTGAGTTCTATTTTAAAAGTGGCGCTAGCTCCAAAAAGTTCTCCGTTCAGAACGCCTATCGGCTTCCTAAAACTGTTAAAACCAATAACACGATTAACATCGTAATCACAAAAACTAGACGAACGCCGCGCCGCCGGCGCGCCTTTCAGTTCGATCAGGCGCTCCGATCGTACGCACGCGCACGCTTCCGTATTGTTTGTTCCGTATTTTTTTATAAAATGTAAGTTCGCATTTGACCTCCATCTCACCTGATGGAAATAGACGATGAAGTCGACGATGGATGAATGTCTATTCACTTTCGCCATGAAAAGGCCCTAGTTATAACGTTCAGGGAACAAGCCTGCAGGCAGGGAATATAAATGTGGAACCGTAACGCTTCGTGCGAATCTTTGGAATATCCACAATATAGGGGTGGAACCCAAGTCTACGCCTAGTCCCCCGATGATGGAAAGGGGAAAGCGGAATTAAATCGTGTAATTCCATCGCACACTCTCCGTGATATATCCTGTAAAATTCCGATAAGCTGGCAACTTTACGGCGGTGTTCAAGGCTCTGCAGCTTCGCCTCCAATACTTCCGAGTCACCTATAAGCTTCTTGACACGGTTGTCAGTTGAGTCCAAGGTGGCCAGTTGGTATGTAGCAGAGCCACCCTAAAGGTGGCAGCAGTACTCCATGCACAACCGGATTTGTGCTTGGTACAGCTGAAGCAATTGTCCCGGTGTGTGTGTCCCTATCAACTGACCCGAGAGATAGGGTTTTCCGGACCGTCTACGGGCTCGACGGCAAAACCAGGGTACTGCGGGCGTGAAAGCAGAATTAATGACTTGTAGATGTGGAGAAAAGTAGATGGCCGCGTAAACATATCATAGGAACGCATGGCAAAACCGTACATTTTGTAGGCACTGTTGATTATAATATCTACATGCGTGTCAAGGTGAAGCTTTCTGTCTAGCGTTACTCTAAGATCTCTAATGGAATCGACAACTTCAAGACGAGTGCTACTCAGCGCATAGGTATTGTTAATAAAATTCCTTTTTTTAGTAAAAGTAATCGATTTACATTTGTTTAAACTGAAACTCAGATTATTATTGACACAGTAGATTATAAACCTATCCAAATCTTCTTGAAGTCTCCGACGATCTTCTATGTCTTCAATCGTATGATAGACTTTAAGATCATCGGCGTATAAAAGAAAATGGCTAAATTTAAAGCACAGATGTATATCGTTTATAAACAAGATAAACAACAAGGGACCCATTATCGAGCCCTGCGGCACCCCAGAAGTCACAACCAAGGAACAAGAGCAGTACGACAAGACGTGAGTACACGTTCCATAGTCTTGCAGAGTATG